GCAGTGAGCCGCTTAACCCTGACCTTGCGAGTTGGATCTGAGCTGATCTACGCCTCTGGAATAAGCGAAATGCGTTGGTCAATTGGATGCTTCAAGGACAAGACGATGGCCTTCTCCAAATGGACTTGGACAACAACAACACGACGACCGGGTTCTATCTACCCCTTGCCTTGGGTCTTCGACGCTGACACGTTTTTCAAAGACATTGAAAGCAGGGACCACATGGCGTCCCCAGTATTCAGCAAGGGCTTTTTTTTTTTTTTTTTTTTTCCTTTGCCTCCTTATCAAAAAATTTGTCCCTGTCCTTTCGCCTCGCTGGCCTGTTTTGTCCTGGCGCAGCGTTGCATCGTGCCATTTCCCACCCGCGGAAGACGGCTGTCTTGGTTAGGCGATCTGACAAGTCACAAAAGGATGGTCTTCCCCCGCATTCTGTGCGGCAGGCTGGGGACATGCTGGGGCACTCTGCCAGAGTGCTCGCCTGCTGGCCAGCGAGAGAGCCACTGAGGACATGGTGCAGAGTGCATATTGGGGGACCGGAAGTCCTTTCAGGGCCCCCATCCCTTCGTGCCACGCTACGTCCTGATTACTGCAGGTTCTGCCGCAGCCAGCAAGGACGGGAGCCTCTTAGCGGTGCCTAGTGGTGATATGGTTCTGCCAGCTAATAAACCTTGCTCCTTCAAGTGAAGGCGGGGGGGTTGCGGATGGATGCTGAGCTCAGGTTTTGACAAACGAAAATCCGTTTTTCAACACAGGGAATAGTGTAATGTGCTGCCGCCCACAGGCACAGTTGCCCAGCCGTAATATCCTGACGAGCGGCGGCAAGATGGGTCATTGGGCTCTCGATAGTCGAGCTGCTATGTCTGTGCGGAGGTCAAGGACCGGGGGGAACTGCAATTGTTTGCTGCAGCTGCACGCTTCTGGGGCAGCAAGAGCTTTGCCTTGCCGTCGTGGCTTACGAGGGTTTAGGGGGGCGTCACTGATCCATCGATACTGCCGCTGCCATCATGATCGCTTGCGCTCCTGGCCGGGAATGGAGGCAAAGACAGGACACCATCATGGCCGTCAGGGATCTCGACCCCGTCTACCACTTTGATCGGGTTGTGTGTGGACTATCGAGGATGGCTTCGGCCTCGCTACGAGCCCTCGACGGGGGTTCAGCTCGAGATGGTGGCTCTGGCTCGTGCCGGGTGCTGGCGGCTCAAAGACGGCATGCACAGCGCAGCAACAGGCAAGGCAGGGCAGGGCAGGAGTTGGTCCATGCTCTGGATGTTGCTGCAACCGTCTCCAAGTTGAGGGCGTCTCGACGAGTAATCGAGACTTGTTGTGTTGCACAAGAGGAGTCCTTAGGGAGCAACCATCCCTCCACCCTCCCGCGGGGGAGACGTGTGTGCATGGCGAGACCAAGACAAACAGAAACGGGCGAATAATTTCAAGGGGCCAGCAGCTGGGCCTACATGCCTCGAAGTACAGCACACTGGTATTGAGTTGCTGTTGCATCGCAGGCGTCCAATTTCTCTGTCCAAGAGATGAGAGGTCCTATTCTTGGGCTGTCTCTCAGGTCTGTCCCGTCCGTCTTGGCCTTTGGATTCAGCCCACTGCAACGCCAGCGACTGTCCAGTTGAGAAGTCCATCTCCCCCTCTTCCCCTCGCCAGTCTCCCATGTCTCTTCTGTCTCGCCACGCCCTGTCTGGTCTTGATGGTGCGCTTCAATTTCAGAACATGGGCCAATCACGACCGTCGACCCCGGACTGCGCCTCCAAGTGGAACCCAATATTCAACGTTGGACGGTTGGGGAAATGGGAAGTCGTCTGTTGCTCCTCTCCTCTGTCGTGCAGATGCCTCTTTTGCTGGAGCAAGGGGGCTTGTCCAACGTGCCATTCTTGGTCATGGAATTCACGTCACTCTCTACAGGTCGCATATCGCTTGCTCTCAGTCCCCCTGTAATTGTCTGTCACGGTACGCGCTCTGCTCTGTACGGGCTTCCCGGGGCTGCTGCTGGGTCTCCGTTGAAGACGGGGCTTTGTGCGGGCCCCCGTCTTCCCCGGATTTCTCCATCTCGGCGCGGTGGCATTTTCCTTCCCGTCGGCCGCTTGGCACGAAACAAATGTCCCCGTGTTAGCGGCTACGCCGTGTCCTCGCGCCGTTGCGTAGGTTCTTCTGTCTTTGTCTGTTTGTTTGTTTGCTTTCTTGGCTAAGGGGGCGTGCTTCACCACGAACAAAGGGTCCTCGGGGCGATTCCAGGTCCGCTGCTTCGGATTCCGCCTGGTCCGCATCCCATCATCGGGGGGCGCCTATTCTGCACCGTGCCGTCACTAACAAGTCGTCAGCTTGGGAAGGGCGCTGCAAGCCACCAACAGCAGGACAAAGAGATGGCCCTTTTGGTTGATTTACAGCGGGACGGACGGCTGTGGAGGATGGATCCGACTGCCTGGGCCTTGGGGAAGCAAGCGCAGCACCTGTGACGACATGCAACAGGCTGAGAGGAGAGCGATGCAGTGCCATCCCATGCGGTTATCCCGTTTCAAGCTGCTTGTCGCTGCGCTGCGCTGCGCTGTGCTGCAGGACGGGTATTACCCTCATGCTGCCTGCCTGCGCCCATCCCGAAAAAGGCCATCCGTGCTATCTCTCTCTCGAGTCTGGAATCTCAAAGGCCCTCGAGTCTCTGGGGGTGGACGGTCACACCACCTCTCCCGTGACCAACTTCAGACGTTGGATGTGCCAACCTCTGCCACGCCAGCTTATCTCTTAGCGCTCTTTTGGTGATTACGACTGCGGTTAGTGGGTGAAATACCCCTCTTCAGATCGACCTTTTGGAGTTTGAGAGAGATTTCCGTGGAACATCTCGAGGAAGAGAGAATGCGGAGGTGGCGTCTTGGTTCACGCGCGTGGCTAATGTCTCGGCGAAATGGGCACGCGCCGCGCCATGTGACCTCTCCTCTTTGCAGCAAAAGGGTGGGATTGGCTTCTGTGCTGCTGCAGGAACTCGTGAGACCCTTGGAAGAATGGGAAAAGGAGGGGTTTTGCCTCTCAGCCTATGATGTAGCCGTCGATGACATGCCTTGACAAGGGCGCGCCGCCTTTTCACGTCTGGTCTGGAGCTGACGGCGAGAGGGTGTGGTGATGCTCACGAGACCTTGGTGATGACCTCCTCTCGAGATTGCGAATTCCCAAGGGGTGGGGGGGCATTTTGGAGAGTTGAGTTTTCTGTCTAGGGTAGGATTCACGGAGGGATTGCTCCATTTTGTCTACTGGTCGAGTCAGATGGGTTGCTTTCCCCTCGTTGCAGTGATTCAGGAGAAACTGGAGACCGTTGGTAGGGATGGTGCAATATTGCCCTCTGCTATACCGTGGTTGAACCAGGAACTGGGTTGTTAAGATGCCGGTGATATTGACCAAGTTCGATCAACTATAGATAAACTTGATTTAACATCCCTGGTCTGGAACTACAACCGTACGATGATCGTCCTTGAATACTCCGATGCGTTATTACCACAGCACGGACACAACCGTCTACGATCAATCCAGCAAGTTGCTCCAGAGTATCATCCTGCGGTACCATCAAGACCCAGATACAACCCCTATCGTTACGGTATGACCTACGGAGTCCCTCTGAATGGCATCGGGACACGGCACGGTGAGAGGATGGACGGTGAGCATATAGTAATATCGAGGTTCATGGTTTAAAGTCTTACTCGAGGGTAAGTCCGAGATAGCAGCGGGCCCCCCCTGTCCTTCTTGAGCATTTCAAATCATTCCCTTGAACTCATGACTTTGATGTCTCGAATCGAAATCCCGGAGCACTCGGACGTGAACTCTCGTTGTAGCTAGGACGTTCTCCATGCTTTGGGACTCTGTAAGCCGCATGAACTACTCTGTTCCCCAGCCTCTTCTCTGCGGCTATGTCGGAGGTTCTCTCGTCACTCGACATGAGATCTCAGGGATGAGTCCTTTCACTCCCCCCTCGTGCCACTGTTGAAATAATGTCTGTGTTTGTGATACGAGACAAGGATCTTTTCAGGTTCAACGTGATGATCATGACTTGTGGTCAACGACCTGGCCAAGATGAGTAAACCGAGCTCACGTTGATACGAGATTGGAAATCAAGAGGACTCGATGAGTAGCAAGCTCATGACCAAGGACTTGGGAGGTACTGAATGAAGAGTTGTACTGATCAAACCGTCACCCCTGACCATACATCAACAAGTCTGTATAGACACTTGCTACATGAACCATATCACGTTTCCCACCCCATTAGCAAAGGCAAAAAAAAAAAAAACACTTGGCCATCCTCCACCAAGATAGTATCCCAAGACTTGCACAACGCCGCGTGCCTGGCCATATTTGGAAGACAACACAGAAACCTACACGTCTGTGTTACGCTGCCAACGTCCAAAACCGGCATCCCAAGCAGCTTTACCACACGCCCTAATATACAGATGCGCATCGACCCGAGACTTGCATCTTCGGCACCGATGGAGCGTATCTGTCTTTCCCTTGGCTGCACGCTTCCGCACCGGTGCGGATAGCCGCATCACACCGGAGCGGGCGGGTGCAGACAGGGAACTGGGTAATGTGATCTCGTGAGTATGGCTGTTGTGGTGCAAGATGCCGTATGACGGTGACGACTACTACCAGGAAGGACATGGTGGTAGGTATACGAGTGCGAGGGAGTAACTGAGCAGTATTAGAGACAGCAAGCAGGAAGGGTAGTTTGTCAACATGAGCAGGGCAAGAAGTCTTGACATGAATGTGACCAAACCAGAGAATTGCCCTATAAGGAGATCAATGGCGAGATATAGAGGTCAAAAGGCATGATATCACGGGTCAATGTTGAGATGGCACGGCATATGCTTCAAGGGAAAAGGGGAAAACTCAAGGAAGTGTATCACTCAACTGATGAACAACGGGTGCTTCATGTACTTTGATCATTATTTAACTCCTTCTATCTGAAATCTCTTTATCAACATTTAGTTCTTTCTTTCTTCTCTATTCCCATTTATTTATTTCAACGTCACCAACTCCTCAGCGCTGGTAGGATGGATAGCAACACAGCTGTCAAAGTCGGCCTTTGTGGCGCCCATCTTGACGGCGACGCCAAAGCCCTGGAGCATCTCGCCGCTGCCGATGCCCATGATGTGAAGGCCAACCACCTTCTCCTCGGGTCCCGTCACGATGAGCTTGTAGTTGGTAGGGCCCTTTTGCTCAGGGTCCATCATGGCGTAGTACATGGCCGTGAAGCCCGTCTTGTAGACCTTGATGTTGTCCTTGCCGTACTTTTCGATGGCTTGGGGTTCTGTCAGGCCAATGCTGCCGACCTCGGGGTGTGAGAAGACGACTGAGGGCACGTTCTTGTAGTCGAGCTTGAGGTTGGAAAACTCAGGGCCGCCGAAGAGGCGGTGGGCGAGACGGCGGCCGGCAGCAATGGCCACAGGAGTCAGCTCGACCTCGCCGGTAACATCACCGAGGGCGTAGATGTTGTCGACAGCGGTGTTTTGGTACTCGTCGACGAGGATGTGTCCCTTCTCGCCAAGCTTGACGCCAGCCTCCTCCAGACCGATGCCGTGAGTCTCGGGGGTGCGACCAATAGCCCAGATAAGGTGGTCGACGTCGCTGAGAACAGTCTCGTTGCCCGCGTCGTCCTTGTAGGTGACGGTGAGCTTGCCATTGGCGTCCTTCTCAACCTTGGTGGCCTGCGAACTCCTGTGAAGCTTCACGCCGAGCCTCTCGTACTCGTTGGTGACAGCCTCCTGGATCATGGGATCGAAGCTTCGGAGGAAGGTGTTGTGGCGGATGAACAGATGAGTCTCCGTGCCGAGGGCGTTGAACATGCCGGCGAACTCGACGGCGATATATCCGGCACCGACAATGGCGACCTTCTTGGGTTGAGTGGCAATCTCGAAGAAGCCATCGCTGTTGATACCGTGCTCGGCGCCGGGAATGCTAGGAGGAGGAGTGGGCTTGCCACCAACAGCGACGAGGATCTTCTTGGCGTTGATGAGAACCTTGGACTGGTCGTCAAGAGTAACTTCGGCCTGGTTCTTGGAGACAAGGCGGGCCCATCCGTGCACGTAGTCGACCTTGTCGTTGTTGAGGTTTCGCTCGTAGATGCCATTGAGACGCTTGACGTAGGCATCGCGCTTGGTCTTGAATGTGGACCAGTCGAAGGGGGCTGTCTCCTCGACGGAGAAGCCGTAGGACTTGGAGTCGTGGATGGCCTCGGCGAGGGCGGCGGCGTTGTAAGTCACCTTTTTGGGTACACAACTAGAAAGGGAAAGACTGTCAGTGTTTGATCCCTTGTATATATGTCCAAAGAACTCACCCAACGTTGACGCAGGTTCCTCCAAGTCGCTTGCTCTCGACAATGGTGGCCTTGATGCCAAACTTGTTGCTGGCCATGCGCGCAGAGGCAAGGCCTCCGCTACCGCCGCCAATGACGAGGTAATCGGTCTCCTTGGTGATGGGAGCCATGGTGCGCGCAGATGCGGACAGGTGCCGGGCGAGTGAAGCTATTCGCAGCGGGGTCGTTCTCGAGGACGAAGACAGGGTGGATGAGCGCAGAGAGTGGGCGAGAGCTTGCATGGACAAAGGCCGTCTCGGGGGATCAACCTTAAGTTATAAAAGAAGGGAGAAAGGGGAGGGGGATGACGTCTTTTTAAGGGCCGAGAGTTGATGATGAGAGCAGCTACCTATTTCACTCCGTCTGCGGCGATAGCAAAATGGCGGGGGTCTAGGAGGGCGGGACGGAAGCAGATTGGTAGGATCGGAAGGGAGGTAGGGATTGGGGTGATTGGGTAAGCAATTGGGTATGGCGAGATGGCTGGCAGATGGACAGACAGGATTGGTGAGCTTGAGCTTGAGCTGCAGGGCAAAAGGTAATCGATTGATGCTCCTGGAACGATTTGAAATCCACCCTTGGCGATGGAGGTTTTTTCGGTCCTGCCCCTCCGTTAGTGGGCGGTTCGGCGATCAACGTAAGAAGCCCGGATGCCGTGCCGCGGAATATTATATTGACTCGTGTGGAATCATGATTTTCAGGTGTAATTACTCAATTCCAAATTCCATCTTTGAGCCTTGTTTTGTCTCATGTCCTTTTACTCCCGAGTTGGCTGCCATCCATCTTGAATTGGTCCCATGCGGGCTGCTTACACATTCGCTGATGAGTTGTTGTGTCAGGATAGTATTTGGAATGCTCTATCGCGGCACGGAAGACTAGACATTTGGCTACTGTGCTGAACAGGGCTCTCTCTCTCAGTGTAGAGAAACTCCAGACAACAGTTGTGCGGTAAAAATTCATTAGGTTAGTACCCTCTTGATATACGCGAGGCGAGGCCATCGGAATCAGTCACCTCATGACGACTGCAGATGATGCACTGTTCCCGATATGCAGCTTCCACGTGGGTACTGTATGCAGTTAGCACGCATAGAAGGGACTAGAGTGTCTTTGATTCGAGTTGGTATTTGGAATAAATTATACGAGTTGGATGAGGTACTAGATAATTTGTCTAGACGTGTTAACAACCCTTGATTTTTTTTTATCCCGAGATTCCAATACAGATGCAATGCCGTCATCGTCATGGTGGCTTGAGCGGGCTGAGGGTGGCTTATATAATGAAACGACCAACCCTGGTTCACATGGCTTGCGTCTTTCGGTTTACTCGGCTGATACATTGCTATCAAGCCTCGGTCGGTATGACCAAAGCCTTGCTGGTTAAACTGACATTGGAATCTTCATAAAATATTGTCTAGATACCTAAGCTACCAAGAAAGGCCATGACGTTGACATGGATCCCATGAGAGTCAAGCTGTGGAGCTTACTCAACTTGGAAGCTGTTAAGCTGCCTTGTGGCTGTGGCTTGTCTGGTCTGAGAGGCAACCTACAGGAACCACAGGAACCCTTCCACGTACCGCAGCTGGCCTCAATCACACAAAATTACAGACTACCCTACAGCTTTACGCGGCCACAGGGGTTCTCTAGTGTCCCTCCAGCGGATAATTGCTTCTGTCTGGAGCTCCAGCCTCTGGACGCCGTTCTGCAGCCCCCCCCCTGCCCGTCCCGCCCCTAGCTCCTGGTTGGCTCATTTGCTTGCCCGAGGTGACAACACCAAAACCAACCCCCCCCAAAATGGTCCAAACACCGGGCTGACGATCTCCATCTTGATACCAGACCTCATCTCATAGCCCTTCAAACTATCCAACCTGTCTTTCTGCCTTATCAGGCCCGACTCGTCTCCGAAGCTATCCGGACTTTCCTATCGCCGTAGCTGATTCACACTGCTACACAGCAAGCTTCGAATCGCTAATCTTCCCACCCCTTTGACGCCTCGTGCCTTAATCGTCCGTCTTTTCCGTCTCGAGCTCCGCGTAGCTCGTATGCGCGACAATGGCGGCCGATGACAGTGGTACTTAACTCCTCCCTCGTGATCGCCTCGCCATCTACTGAAATGCTGACTTCCCGGCAGCTGCGCCGAACCTGAACCTCTCCCCCGAAGAGAAGCGAACATATGGCCAACTCTTCCGACAAGCCGATTCCGACAGCGTTGGCGTCGTTGTTGGCGAGATCGCTGTCAAGTTCTTCCACAAGACTGGTCTAGACTCTCGAATCCTGGGCGAGGTATGTCTGCGATCCCCGCGTTTCGCTGCCCGCCCGACGTTCCGCTAAATGTTTTACTCTCGTGATAGATCTGGCAGATTGCGGATAAGGAGAATCGGGGTTTCCTCACACCAGCTGGCTTCGGCATCGCCCTACGACTCATCGGACACGCCCAGGCCGGCCGCGAACCTACTCCCGAGATCGCTCTCCAACAAGCTCCTCTTCCTCGATTCGATGGCTTCGTCCCGCAAGCCGGCCCTGTTGGAGGCATTCCCCCTCCTCCGCCCGTGCCTGTGAGCTCGCCTCCTCCTCCAGCTGCTCTCCAGGCTCAGTCGACCGGCGGACCGATTCGCATCCCTCCCTTGACTCCCGAGAAGGTGGCACAGTATACTGGTCTCTTTGAGCGCCAACCTCTTCAGGTTGGTGGTCAGTTGCCAGGTGACCAGGCCAAATCCATCTTTGAGAAGTCTGGGCTTCCCAATGAGGTGCTGGGTAGGATATGGCAGCTCGCCGATACCGAGCAGCGCGGCGCTCTCGTTCTCACCGAGTTTATCATTGCTATGCATCTGCTCACCTCGATGAAGACGGGAGCTCTTCGATCTCTCCCCAACATCCTCCCAGCTGGTCTCTATGAAGCTGCCGCGCGCCGTGGCCCCTCACGTCCGTCGTCTTCCGCACCCGGCATCTCCGCCATCCCCCGACAACTGAGTGGAACTGCTCAAGTGCGCGCAAACAGCCCTCTCGGACGTCCTCCCCTCTCTCCCCAGGGTACGAGTGCGGTTGCAAGTGATTGGGCCGTGACTCCCGCCGACAAGGCCCGATTCGATCAGTTGTATGCCGACCTCGACAAGACGAACAAGGGCTTTATTACTGGAGAGGAGGCGGTTACCTTCTTTAGCCAGTCCAATCTTCCCGAGGATTCCCTGGCTCAGATTTGGGACCTGGCAGACTCAAACTCCCAGGGACAGCTCTCGCGCGACCAGTTTGCAGTCGCCATGTACCTCATCCGACAACAGAGGACTGGCCGTGGGCCCCTGCCTACCACTCTACCTGCTAATCTGGTTCCTCCTAGCCTTCGCACTCAAGTTCGTCCACCAACTGCCACATCTGCTTTTGACCCTCCTCCTCCTCCCGTGGTGGCCCAGCCACCACCTCCTCAGCCCAAGTCAGCTCTCGACGACCTCTTTGGCCTCGAATCGACCTCCCCGAGCCCTGCTCCGGCTCCAACCCAGGCTCCTATGTCAACTGGGGGATCCAATGCCAACGATCCGTTCGGTACCGGCTCTAACGTGCTGACACCGTCCTCTCCTCTTAAGGCGTCTCTCACTGGCACTGGAAGCTCAACCTTTAAGCCATTCGTTCCTTCATCTTCGTTTGGCAGAGGCTTGACGCAACAGCCTACAGGAGGCTCGGCTGGTTCAGGCTCTAAGCCTTCCATGCCTTCCGCGTCCGAGGATCTCCTGGCAGACAATGATCCAGAGGCCAGCAAGATTTCTGGAGAGACCACCGAGCTTGCGAACCTCTCAAACCAGATCTCATCACTGTCCAAGCAGATGCAGGATGTTCAGGGCAAGAGGACAACAACTCAGAACGAGCTGAATCAAGCCACTGCTCAGAAGGCGAACTTTGAGCAGCGACTTGCTCAGCTGCGCACCGCTTATGAGAAGGAGGCGCAAGATACCCGTGCCCTCGAGGAGCAGCTCAACACGGCTCGCAAGGAGACATCGAAGCTGCAGGCCGAGTGCATGAGCCTTGAGGGGACTTACCGTGATATCCAGGCTCAGCACCAGCAGGTTACAGCAGCTCTCCAGGCTGATCAGCAGGAGAACACTAACCTCAGGGAGCGTATCCGGGTTGTCAATGGAGAGATTGCCCAGATCAAGCCCCAGATCGAGAAGCTCAAGTCTGACGCTCGTCAGCAAAAGGGACTGGTTGCCATCAACAAGAAGCAACTGTCCACCACTGAAGGCGAGCGCGACAAGCTCAAGGCTGAAGCTGAGGATCTCACTAAGAGCATCGAGGAGCTGCGTCAAGCCAACACAGGTTCTCCTGCGTCTGCCCCGGCCCAGATTGCTAGCCCAGCGGCATCTACCTCTAGTGCAAACAACCCCTTCTTCCGTCGGACGGCAAGCACTGATATCATGGGTGCATTTGCCTCCCCCCCCGCCAAGAACGTCTCTGACAAGTCTTTTGACGATGTCTTTGGACCGTTCCCACCTAGCGCTTCTGGTACTCCTCCTCCTCCTCCTCAGACTTCGTTCAAGCCCCAGCATACTGGTACCTCGACCGCCAGTGTTGGATCATACAACACCCCCCCTGCTTCGTCTCCTGTCATGAGCCGTCAGCCTACTCTGGCTGTCGACCCTCCTGCGCCTCCGGAGTCGAGACAGATCAGCTCTAGCTTCCTACCTTTCATTGACCATAACGAGTCCCTCTCATCCTCGCGTCAGGTTTCACCCCCTGCTTCCCGGATCGATGACCCTCTCCATGGCTCGGTTACCCCTATCCCTGGCGACCTGAAGGCATCCGATAGTGTTGGCAGTGTACCAGGAGCTTTCCCCGGCGACGAGACTGACAGTGTCGAGCGTAAGGGAACTCCATCTGTCCCCGCTGACACGGCACGTGAGCCCGCCAACGAGAGCGCACCAAAGGGCGCGGATCCTTTCGGTGGCGCGGATGAGGCCAAGGCCAAGGCTGACTTTGAGAACGCCTTTGCCGCCTTTACAACTGCCAAGAGCCAGACCAAGCCTGCACAGGAGACCAACAAGTCTACCTCTGCTTTCGATTCCGAGTTCCCCCCTATCTCGGAACTTGAGCGTGATGACGACTCGGACTCTAGCAGCGACCGAGGCGGCTTCGAGGATGACTTTGCACCCGCTTCGCCTCCTAGCAAGCGATTTGGGGATAAGCCTGCGAGCGGAGAATCGTCTGGAGGTGCTCCCTTGGGCCCAACTCCGGCCCCTGAGACTGCATCTCCTGAGACCAAGGTGACGAGGTAAGGCACTCAACTAACCAAACTTCTGTTAACAGACGCTAACATCGATCAGCCCCGAGCTCCCATCGTCACCCGCGACAGTGACCGAGACCAAGGCCCAGAACTCATCTGTCGACGACATCTTCGGCACGAGTGCGACAGGACCTGCCCCTGCCCCGAATCAGGCGGCCCCGCCCAACCCTCCAGCCAAGAGTGGTTTTGAGGATCTGGAAGACGAGTTTGAGGGCCTGGAGGATGCTAAGGAAGGCTCCGGAGAGGAAGATTTCGCCAACATCTCCCGCTCTGGTCTGGACGACTTTAACCCCGTCTTCGACAGCAGCCCGCCCGGTAGCCAGACTAAGACCGAGTCTACCGCGTTCGGCAACGAGAGCTTCGACTTTATCTCTGCCAGCCAGGCTGGTCCAGCCCAACCCCCTGCAGGTGGCCAGCAGAAGCCCCCTGAGGCCCACGACTGGGATGCCATCTTCTCCGGTCTCGAGTCACCCAGCGCTGCTGCAGCAACTCCCGCTACTGCTCCTGCTGCCGACAAGCCAGCTGGCGGTGATGCGTCTCGTCCTGGCCAGCAGCCCCTGAACCGCACAGAGTCTGAGCAAGACGACCCCATCCTCAAGAGCCTGACTGGCATGGGTTACCAGCGCACTGATGCTCTGGCTGCCCTGGAGAAGTTTGACTACGACCTGGACAAGGTATGATTTAAAAGATGTTTATGTTACAGTCATGGATGCTAACTCTTGAACAGGCCGCAAACTACCTGGCTAGCCGGTCATAATAATCAGCAACTATAAGGTCGAATTGGAGGGTGTCTGTCTACTGGAGGAAAGGCTTTAATAACAACCGCAAACAACAGCTACCACTGCTACATTACATATCTTGTTTCCTTTTCATTGTCCCCTTGTCCCCTTGTCTCCATCACCATCATCATCGTCGTCGTCATCATCCTCATGATCCCCCTCTTGTTGAATAACTAGTTCCTTGTCGGGCAGCGAAACGCTTCTTTTCTTCTTCTTTTCCGTCGTTTTCGTCTCCATCTCATCGTTATGGGGGGTTAGTTCTTGTTCTCCTTGTCATGGGTAATAGGTTCCCCATTTTGTAGATCATGATAATTCCTTGTTGCGTTGACTGCTTTCAGTCTTAGTCTTGTCTCGGTGTGTATATTGTATATGTGAGAATGTTGAAGTGAGGAGTCATTATGTGTAAATGAAAGTTGAAGGGTGTACAAAGATTTCTTATCAAAACAACATCTCATCGCTAAAGGTGGCACAAATCATGCCCTTCATACAAACATGCTCTACATGTCCATTTTCCGTCTTTTCCCATAAGCATATGCATATGCATATATATAAAGTGTCCTTTCTTCCCGCTTACTTGACTCTGCTCATGATGGTCTCTGCGCCACGCTCAACCGTGATATTCGCAGCCTTGTTCTTTACAGCAGTAGCCATACCCCTCTCAAAGTCATCCCTCGTCCTCAACACGGCCTCTACCCATGAAGGGTTGAGATCCCAGTAGGCCATCTTGAAGGTCGCGTATGTCTCCACGACAGAGTCACGATCACAAGTCAAAAGACGCAGGAAATGCTCCGTGACACGCCACGTCTCCTTGATGGATGCTCCAATATCCGGCGACGGCAAGCTGCCAAACAACTCAAAGGCAGTGGCAATATCGTTGAAGAGCTTGTCCTGGAAGGGGTCGGTGCGGCGAAACTTGGCGCCCTTGTTGCGGACGGCGCTGAGGTAGCGCACAAGCAGCTCCTCGGCAAAGATCTCGACAAAGATGTCGACGAGCGAGTGGTGGAGGACCTGTCGGTAGTCGTTGACGTACTCCTCAAACGTCACCACCATCTGCTTCATGGCGGTGCTCGTGTACCACTTGGGGGTGAAGAAGTCGGGCATGACGGCGCCAAAGTCGACCGAGAAGATGAGCTGGGCGAAGCGGTTGATGCACCACGTGCTAAAATCGACGTAGCCGTCGCGTATAGTGTTGACCTCGGTCTCGATGCGTTCTAGGTAGGCTGGGGTGACGTGCTGCTCGACAAGGCGACGGAAGCTTGATAGGTAGGCCAGACGGTTCTCCTCCTCGTTGTCGTCGATACAGGCGATTTGATCGTTGGCTGTAGCAACAAGCCAGTCCTGTAGAGCCTGGAAGCCCTCGAGATCAGGCACTCTACCCTCCTCGTATCTCGTAGCTTCAGCATCGAGCATGGTCTGCCACGACTGCTGACGAGACCGTAGACGAGCAAACATGGCATCGATTACACCCTCGACCACATCAGCACGCTGCGAGTTGGCAGCGGCGTCCACCTGCTCGCGGAGCATCCTCCAGAGGGCCACCAGGTTCTTTGTCCGGAAGTAGCCATACTCGTCCTGGTCCAGGTTGGAGCCCTCGACGTTTCGCTCGGCCAGGTCGCGTTGTTCCTGTGCAAAGATACGCTCGATCCACTCGTCCAGGAACTTGATGATGAGCTCACGAAAGTCGCGGACAAGTTCCGCCTCGCGGTTGTCCACCACATGAGGCACTAGCTCTTCTTGACGCAGTCCCAGCTTGGTCATCTTGCGATAGTACTTTTCTGGGAAGCCCACAATCTCGAGCGTGTGTGCTGATGAAGCCTCGTTGCCGTCCACCATGCCTATCAAAAAGTCGTGCATAAGCTGGTGGTAGACGTCGGCGTACGTCTTGACAATATGCCACTTCTTGGGCATCAGATGCGACATCCCCACCTTGACCACATTCAGGTCATTGAAATACCACTTCATAATCTTCTCCAGCTTGCTCGGGTCTTCGAGAAACTCTTCCTTGGCGCCGTCAAACTGCTGCTCAGCACTGAGCCGGATCGCCTGGATGAACTTGTCCTTGTAGCCACGCACCTTTTTGGCGCCGTCGGTGATGCTCTGGAACCTCGTTGCCATCTCCTTGTGGTCCTTGAGCGCCTCTTGCAGCGCCAGCACCCGCTGGTCGCTCTTCTCCTCGGCCTCCATCACTATGGCGAACCTCACCACGAGGCCGTTGTTGTCCTGCACCACCAGGTTGATGAGGTTGAGGGCGATGATGCCGACGTGCTCGTCGAACCAGTCGATGGTATCGTCGAGCCGCGCAAAGTAGTCGGCTAGCGTCGACTGGAGACTCGTGTCCTCGGCCCTCTGTATCTGCTCCATGGCGTCGTCTCGGATGTTTCGAAGTTGCGTGAGCTCGTAGTGGCATGGCAGCAGGTTGGGCATGTTGTCGCCGTCCTCATCATCCTCTCGCAGCATCTGCTCCACGACAGACAGCCTGTCGTTAAAGGTCTCGAGGTTGCGGCGCATCGTCTCTACGGCGCCAAAGTTACGGTGGGCCTGCGACACGAGGTTGATGCTGGCAAAGTCCTTGATCATGTTCTGAGACTCTGAGCACAGCTTGTCAATCTTCATCATCTCCTCCTTGATCATCTGCACCGTCTTCTGCCCGTCCGTCAGGCCCGTCATGCCCGACTGGGTCGTCTCGAGCTGCTCGCGCAGCCCGCTGCGCAGTTGCCCATCGACGGCGCCCTTCTTGCGCGAGAACTCGAGCTTGAGCGCCGGGATCTTGTCTAGATCCTCTGGGTGCCGCAGCAGCTCCGAGAGCTTAGGCGCGGGTGTGTCGTCCATTGTGGCGGCGGATCGTGAACCATGCGAAGGGGGGGCGGACACGCCAATCAAACCATGATGCGTGGGGGACTCGGATGTCGTCGTTCGGCCGGGGGAGGGGTCTTATCGTTGGACGGTTGATGCTATAGAGTTGGACCTATTGTGATGGGAGTTGAAGCGAGCGTGGTGGTTAGGTAGGTGGTTAATGTGTGCGGCTGGGTGGTATGTCGAGTCGCGGGGAGCTACGTACTCGGTACCTGAGCTAAAGCGAGGTCCATCATGTGGCTGACGCAGCATCCAAGCACAGCCACTCTAGTCGCCCCTTCAACACCACAAGATCATCGCCAACATAAGCACTCAAGATATTCATTTGTTTCATCGTTACTTGACCAATGTCTCTATTTGTTCAAATTTTGGGTATCTTCATGATATTATACACATATTATAGCTCAATTGGCCAAGATTCACCCCTTAATCATCGCTGTCGCTCCCCGAGCTACTCGTATCATCATCGTCGTCCTCATCATCCTCTTCACCCAAGCTCTGCTCCGCAATTACGTCGCCTGCCTCAAGTGCAACTCCTCTGGATCCAGACTCATCGTTTCCTTCCATCTCATCGTCACTTCTGACCTCTCCTTCCTCCACCTCCTTTCCACCCTGTCTTCTCTTCTTGTTCGGTTTATTAGGCCCCTTCTTCCCAGGGGGATTCTTCCTCTTGTTGCCTCCTAGTGGTGATATCGTGTCTTTGGGACCCAGCACGAAGCCTGTGGGTAGAGTTTGGTCCTCTTTGAGAACATAGATAGTTGGAAACTCGAGAACGCGCGTGTTGCTGAGAATATCGCGAAGGCATCCTTCCACCTCGAGCTTTGTCCAGACAGTGGGCTGGTCTGACCGTGATCGTGGCTTGGCAAGGAAGTATTGGAATCGCCGTTTTTGAGCCTGGAGTTCTTCTGATGGCCACATAACGGGATCAGTGTCGTGGTGGGTTGACCATGGGCCTGTAAAAGGATCTTGCAGCGCGAATGAACCTGGAGACCATGTCGCACGGGAGGGGTCTTGGGATTGCCCATCCTGGCCCGCTCGTAATGTCCTCTTTACCAACTGGCCATTCGCTCTCTGCTGCTCCTCTAGCACCGTGTGGTATGCCTGGAATAGCGACACATCGTCCATCACCTTGGAAAGAATGCGCGTCTTCTTCGGTTCTTCTTCTTCAACATCCTCAAATGTCATCCACTCGACCTGCCAATTGATGCGACCAGTCCTTCGATTGAGTGTGGTATGGTTCTCTTTCTGCCTCGCCATGCCCATTGGAGCGCACATGATGTTGATGTTCAGCTTCTTCAACCTCTGCGCCAGGAATCGCTCAAAAACACGGCCCTTGGCTTCGCGCAGAACTCGTGTCACGAGCACCTTGCGCTTGCGCCCATCTCGACCCGGCTTCCATTTGACCTCCTGGACCGTCATCGGTCGCAGTTCCTCCTCTTGAACCAGAGAGCGCTCTTCGACAAGGAGCTTTTCAGCGCGTTCGACGGATCGCTCGATGCCGTGTAGGAAGTTATAATCGTGATCGACACCGGCGGGTGTGCGCAGCTTCGCAGGAGGGATGTAGGCTGTTGCGTCGCGTTCGCCTGTGCATTCTGACCACGCCTTGTGCTTCTTGATGCAGGCGAGAGAGCACGTTCGGATGCTACATCGTGGACATTTGTATTTTGGAGTTGAAACGTGGCAAATGGCGCACAAAGAAGTCAACAAAGGATCAGCCATTGTGTAACACGGGACGAACGAGGTTGGACGATGTTAATGGAAGGAAGATGGATTTGCGAGGATGCCACTAACAGAGGTCTACTTCCAAACTTTTTTGTGGGGCCAGCAATGGCTTATCTTATCAGAGAGAGATGTTCAGACTTGGGGACTTCTTGCGCTGTAGTGGTAGAACTATCAAACGACATCACATGACCAAGGGAAACGACTTCATTTATTGTTGAGGAATTCTTTTCATTGTTTGGCTGCTCTTCAAGCCAGGCAAAGGAGCGACGTGAATTGAAACACCACCGCTTCCATCTCAGGATAATACTCTAGCAAAATGTAAAAGGACCGCCAGGCTTGACGCGAGTACATGAGCGAGCCCGCCCACCAAATAACTAAAAACAACAATGGAATGGTTATATCA